ACTTGTGCTCTTTCTACTATCACTGTCAGTAAACAAGCTGAAAGAACCTTGAATCTCAAGTGATCAAAGAGAAAAAAGAAAAAACAATGTATCCAGCCTCTTAGTGGCAGCGTAACTGCTTTTCCTCCTGTTGTTACAACCCTCTTTATAATCATTCTTATTTTCTTCTTTCCAATCAGTCCAATTAAGCATTATTAAAAAAGGAGAATTTTAATCCATAGGTATAAGCAAAGTGAAAAAAGAAGAAGAAACAATTAATCCATTCAGTTTAAAAAATAGAGAGCCCCTGCAAAAGTTCCATCCGTGAAAGAAAAAGAAATTAGAAACTGGATAACACACGAAGTTCAATGCAGATCAATCTCGCCGCCTACAGTCTTTTGTCTTCAATGTTAACTTAACTTAAATTTTTTTTTCTTGGGTAGTCTCTTCCTCTAATAATAAAATTTCCTCACCAATTCGACACACTTTCTCTTTCCGCTTTCTTCCCATTCCGGAGCTTTCCCAACTTCAGCAGCTTCATTAGTTGTGTTTCTGTCTCTGGAAAAAAGGCTATTTCTGGATCTTTCAGGGACTTTGCAGTGTCCCTGAGATCAGCAGGAGGTGCCCTTCTCAATCAACGTCTCTGTGGGACAGTTTAGGTCCAAATCAACCGTCCAGCAGCAAAAATTCGACTGCGATTGCAGAACACCAAGATCGCACGTCAGCTCTCTTCTCTAACTCCTTACATATTCTGATCTCATTTTGTATTGAAAAGTGCTTATTCCTTTATAAACCTTTGCTTGTCTTTAATGTGCTTTTACTGTTCTTTCCATTTTCCTCTAGAATATTTTTTTCAGGATTTCTGGAAAAAAAATCTTAATACCCTCAGCACTACATTCAGTGAATAAAAGCATTTCATATATGTTAGACTCACCTCACCTGAGTAAGATCTAAAAGTTGTCCATATCACATATTAAATTAATACTTATTCTGCTTTTGTCTAATATATTTCAAAAGACTGTATCTCATAGGATAACATAGTTTGAAATATAGACATATGCTAAGATTCAGCTTCAGACAGTAAATGTTTTCATTGTACCTGTTTTCATTTTATACTTTTATCCATTATATTTCACACAGGCCTTTTGGAGACCTTTCAGAATAATAATGCTCTTCTTGATCAGATTCAGAAATGTCTGGAGGCCTATTTGGAATCCAAGAGAGTCATTTTCCCAAGGTTAGTTAAGAATCAGTAAGAAGATAATTGTCATCTGTTCTGTTGCTTTACCCTTTATTACCCAGGAATACAATCCTGGCACAGTTTACATATATTGAATCCCATTGATTTAAATGAAAGAATTAATTTGCTTCCATTGAAAGTAATTAGGACTTAATTAGTTCAGTTTAGAATTATCATTACCAGTTTCTTATTTATTTAAAACGATACTCATTGCAAAGAGTGAAGAGCCGAGGTGGTGCAGTGGTTAGAGTTCAGTACTGCAGGCCACTTCAGCTGACTGCTAGCTGCAGTTTGGCGGTTCTAAACTCGCCGGCTCAAGGTTGACTCAGCCTTCCATCCTTCCGAGGTGGG